GTCAGGCGAATAAACATATTGTCCCAGCGATCGAGTCTTCTTCTTCTCATATGCTACCATCACCTATGACTAGGGATTCTCGACGGAATCCGAAACGTCAGGAAAATGAAAATCTTGTTCGATTGATCGCATCTTCTTCTAAAATTGTTTCTTATGTTAGCTATATTGAAGAAAGCGCTTCTTTTCATCCAAATGAGCAAACGTTCACACGAATGGGTTATGTTTTAATTAAATTTTCAAACCAATTCAGGTGAATCATACTCGTTAAAGTTCGAAGGATAATTAATTAAAGCGAGTTTCGCAAATATTCGAATAAAGGATGTACTATTCAGATTACTGTTTCTGAAAGTACGGTTAAAGCATGCCTGATGAATGCATGCATTTTTGTATTTACTGCATATGTATTCCATAGCCGGTGTCCAAAGTTGCGCTATTGATTAATTGTTTAGGAGTGCACAATTTTCGGAATTCACATTTGCTGTGTCACAAAAAAATGCTACACTTTTCCCCGGAGAGTCCACCAAGCGGCTGCTTGTAAAAGCCCGCTTTCCGAAAATGCAATTAGCAGGATGAGCATGAGTCGTCATCATAACTTTCGATTACCCTCGACTGAATAATGAATAACTGTTAAGAAAGTGCACAGAGTAACACGAGAGATTTTCTCTTCCCTACAGTCGGCTACACACCCACTATTCCTACGGACTTTAAGACTGACCGCGGTGCGCTGCGGGGACTGCTCGCGTAGTCTCTAATTTCATTCCAAACAAAGTGACTCCGAAACGTCAAAGCCGCTGCGCATGTAACTCTCGCTAAGATGCTGTTCTTTTCAATGGCTTTTAAAGCAACTCTCCCCTAGCCATAAAATTTATGTCCGCCCCAAAGTTGGTATATATGCTTTATGCCGTGAAGTTTCCTTTGATGAAAGTCCGTACACGACGACAACTGCCTATTTTCTGTGTACTCTAAAATAACAGCCCTTATCGGGGCAAGGGGACCAGAGACTTCTTGGGAATATTTACAGTGCCTTTGTAAAAATTTATGTGGAAGAGGTTAAGGAATTTCTAACCAGTTTATTGCCGCATTACTCGGCAGACGACAGACCCGGACCTCTAAATATCCCAGAATTAATTGCAAAATATAACCATAAGATGATCATTTTAAGTTACGCGCAGAGGGAAAGGTGTTTTTTTCTCCAAGTTACGTTATAATAATAATGCCTAATTTACAATATTAACAGACGCAATATTGACCACTTCAGGAAATCCTTTTTTAGTTATATGGCTACTCACTGAGGCATATACAATCTAAAAACGGAACATACAAGGGAACAATAATAAATAAAATGGATCCGGTAAAATATGAAAAGCAAATCTTTTCATATCTGCCAAAAAATATTAGTAGTTGTTAGAGGAGTTCGTAAGTTGGCACAGATTTCTATTTCTTCTTGGACTCTACCCTGCATAGCGATGATGGAGGTGGAGTTCATCAGCGATATACTCCAGTGAAATACTTTGAGAGAATTAAGTTACTAAGGATAGTTTCCAAGTGATCGGGTGAGCGATACTTACAGGTCATTCCTGTGGACGTGCATTTTTTTCAACGACTAGGTTTGCTGCTTGTATAAGTTTACAAATGTGACCGAAACCGTTATTTGCATAAAAAGAACGCATGGTTATCGTTGCCACTGCTGCGTATGATTCGATTCCTATGGAACTGATCAGCCCTCCGACAGGTGACCTCATAAAGGCCTTGTAGTTCTTCGCGGGTAATATTCTCGGACTCGAATTCACACACCCCCACGGTAGATAACAAAATGTCTAGTAATTTGCAAACGGAGAATACGAATTTCTCCTAGAAGCGTTTTGAACATCATTATAATATATACAGACACGTGTCCGGGCTTTTAGCAAGTACGGTATAACATCACCGTCATTTATATATATATATATATGTAAAGGGAATAATTGTGGAAATTATGGGTTTATGACATAGAAGTAACCGACCGGGAAATGACTTTTAGGGCCAGATCCTAAATTTCAATAAAAGTTTGGGTCGAAGACAATCAGCTACCCCGGAATAACCACGGAATGTCCATTCTACAAACAAGTACTACTACAAATAGTATGGATTCTATACTTCAATTGTTATACCGTACCCCCGACGTAGATAGTAGCTAAAAGCCCAGACACGTGTTTCGACGATGTTCCTGCTACTGAGGGGTTCGGCCATTTTGAGTTGCCACCCGCTTACCTATCGCTGGCACAAAAGTCAATAATGCACTCCAAGGTCAACTCCGGCGAAGATTATGTATTTTCGTTTATTCTTCATAATCTGTTTGCCTACCATTACGAAGCCGTAGAGAAGCATAACGTCGGTTGTATATGAAGCGTCTTCGTTTTAATTCGACCAAGTTGAAAAAAAGACTCTTTCGCCAAGTCATTCATCTAGTGTGCATATACATATACTGGCATAACTCCGTTCAGATTTATTCTGTTAGCAAAAACTTCATATGCATTAGCAGCAATGACTCCTGCTAGCATCTATCCGTATGACTACAGTCTGAGTTGTGCAGTTCAATGGGTGTCTACTTCAATTATGACGGGGCTAAAGGAGCGAGTAAGAAGGCGTCATCGCCTGCTGTTTGCACGCACGCACGCACGCACGGACGCACGCACACACGCACGCATGTCCGTGTCCACCTTCCCAACTTACTTGATTGCGTAG